GAGAGAGAGAGAGAGAGAGAGAGAGAGAGAGAGAGAGAAATAGAGAGAACATGAACACGAATACACACATGAAAAGGCCTGAGGTCTATGTTTAATAGCTTCCTCAATTGCTCTTTCCTTTATTTTTTTGAGACAGAGTCTCTCTCTCTGAATCTGGAACTCACTAAGTAGTTGGAACTGCTGCCCAAAAAGCCACAGTGATCTTGTTTTTGCTTCCCTAGCACTAGGCTTACAGGGTGCATGAACTCTGAGCTTGCATTTACATTAATGAAATAAAATCAACCTTGGGTCTGGAGGTAGAGCCAGCAATTAGTTGACAGAAAGTAATTATAGAGAGTCATAGGGAGTCGGGGAAACAGAGAGATGCATGGGCAGCAGTAGGGAGGGACTTTGAGTGTGTCAGTCATTTTTGGTTTGGAGTGATGGAAGAGACACTCCCTTTCTGAGACACAGTGAAGAGGGAGGTCAGCTGGTTGCTCCTCAGCCTCTCTGAGCTAGCAGGTTTTCACCCCAGCCTCTGACTCCTGCATCCTTATTGGTAAATAGAATGATAGAAGTTTAGTGAAAAGCTACATTTGGTGGCAGTGGCAGGAGGTAGACCCAGCAGAATGTATAAGTCTCCCAGGGATACTTCCTCAAAAGCTGGCCAGTAACTGCAGAGCTGTAATTACTGCCGAAACAGCAGTAGATTCAGGTGTAGCCACTGTGCTGGCAGGTAAATAATGGGTGCACAGCTGGGTATGGTGTTTTATGTGGGTGCTAGAGAACGATCTCATGTCCTGATGCTCACACCACAAACATATTACTGACTAAGCCATCTCCCCAGCCCTGTCACTATGTTTTTAAACTCATTCAACAAGCACATACTGACAGAACCTTGTAGTTTTAATTGTCATTTTCCCAATGACTAATGACATGGAGCTTCTTTTTACATATGTATTTGGCATCTCTATATGTTTTCAGTAAAATATCTAGACATACATATATATTTAATTTTTGAACTTATAATTTAATTATACTTCTCCCTTCCATTTCCTCCCTCCAAACTCCCACATATACCCCTCCCCACTCTCCTTCAAGTTCATGGGCTCTTTTTTCACTAATTGCTACTGCATGCATAGATGTATTTGTATATACACATATGTACTCCTAAATATAACTTGTTGAGTTTGTATAATGCTGCATGTATGGATGTTTTCAGAACTGACCCTCTGGCACTGGAAACCAATTGGTTTGCTCTTCCTCAGGAAGATCACCTTTCTGGCTCCCAGCTTTCCTTAATTGCCTATAATTCTTTGTGTAGAGTGAATGCCTCATGGATTCTTCCAGTTTGGCTTGTTCATTGGTGTCATCCTTGTTTGGATCACATTTGGACAGACATGTTGATGAGACTTTATGGGTATAGAGTCTGATGTTACTAAGGAGACATAATCTCACAGCAAATTTCCTGGTCCTCTGGCTCTTAAAATCCTCCAGTCCCCTCTTCCACAATGTTCCCTGAGCCTTAGGGACAGGAGTGTTTTGTAGATGTAGCCATTGGGACTGGACTTCCCATTTTGATTTAGTTGTGGTTTTCTGTATTATTTACACATTTTCTAATTATATTGCTTATTTTGGAGGCAAGATTTCCTTTTTAATTTCATGCATTCTTTATGTGTTGTAGATAGGAGTCCTTTGTCAGTACCCGTTTCCTTTAATGTCTGTAAAACTAAGCACATGGTTATTTTACTTGGGCCTACTCTTTCTTATAGTTAAGTGTGGTTACATGGCATGTTTCAGGCCAATGAAATGATACAGAGTCATAAAGTACCAATAAGGCTACTTGTTCTGAACCTTTACTCTCTCTCCTGGGACTTGAATTGCAATAGCCCAGCTTCAACCATGCAGATGAGGACAGTGCTATAGGGTGGAGGGCAAACTGTTAAGAGACAAATAGCAAACACTTAATGCTTGTGGGTTTCATGAATTCTTTGGGAAATTTTCAACACTGCTGTTTTAGTAAATAGCAGGCATGGGCAATGTACTAAGAAATAGGCTTGCCTTTATAAATATAAAGCTATTTACAAAAGTGGTCTCAGAGAGTATAGTTTGCTGAGCCCCGTCACGATCTGGGTTCCAGAGTGGAAGAGGGAGCAGAGCCATTAGGTTCACCTGGATTGCTACTCTTGAGACCAATTCATGAAAAAGAAACAGATTTAAAATCACCCTATTTTAGAATATTCTCCACTGTACCATCTTATCATTCACTGGGCATATACTGTATTAACTGTACAAAGATAATTTAACAGTAATTTATACATGCTCCTAGCCAGATAGAGCTGGAAATGGTATGACAGGGAGATTCCAGAGCAGAGAAATGGACCTGTGGACAAGTTATAAAGCAACATTTTGAAGATGGGGAGAGAGTGAGAGTGGAGAGGAGGGAGGAAACTGAGTATAACACGGGGCTTTAGTGCTATTGTGTCTCTGAAGGTCCAGAAAAGTCCGTGAAATGTTATATTTCAATTTTAGAAATGAAGGAAAATAGCCAAGTCTCTGAAAAATTATTTAACTTTCCTAGGGGCATAGCTAAATTTGAACCTCGGAAAGTATCCACTTCAATAATGGATTTATTCACGGTTCCCATTCAGAGACTGACCTGCGGCTCCCCTCTCTGGAGCACAGCCTGCCCGTTCCTCCCTCCCTGCCAGGTAGCATCCATCAGCACAGTTCCTGGAGAAAGCTCAATAGGAGCTTATTAAGCATCTCTGTCTATCTGCCTAGAAGCAAAACTGGGACCAGGGAAGCTAGAGGAAGGAGGGAAAGAGACTGACCTTTAAACACAAAGCTTTTGATGACAGGCTGCAGAAATCCTCCAACTCTCCTGTGCTTTGTGGCGGCCAATCAGAAAATGTCACTCTGCTCTTCCATGTTCTAGGAGAAAACCTGTCTCCATCCTTTTTTCAGGACATCCATGAGACTTGTGGAGACTCCCCCATTTGCAGGCTGCTATAGACCTCTCAGTCCCATTCCTCTTTTCTTGACAAAAACGAGCATTCTCTGTCAGTACAGCCTGAGCATGTGAGCAAAGATACCTCCCTCTTTCCCTCCTGTTTCCTGTCTTTAGCATGTTCGGTGCTGACTCAAAGCAGGGTTAGTGCTCACTTTAAAAAACACAAAAGTATAATTACATTATTTGTCCCCCTTTCCTTTCTCCAGTTCCTCCCATGTACCTCCCCTTGCTCCATCTTGAAATCATGGCCTCTTTTTCTTTAGTTATTACTGTTATGTATCTAAGTATATGTATTATGCCTAAACCTATAAATACAACCTGCTCAGTCCTGTGTTACTTGTGTGTATGATTTCAGGACTGACCGGTTGGCAGTGGATTACCAATCAGGTGGCCCTCACCTTTGAGCCCTCATGTACTCCGTGTAGGCGGCATGACTTCTCAGCACTCATGCAGTTCTTTCCTCAGCTGTGCTTCACGGAACCAACAGTTCCTGGTCCTGTCTGTTGGTAGCATACTGAATAAGTGACTTTACTCCCTTTTCAGTATGTACTTGATACCTGGTACCCGGTTCCCTTGCTTGGTTTTGTGGCCTGACAAATCAATTTCAGCAGATTAATGTAAATATAATAGAAACAAGATATTTTCCCTGTAGCATAAAAGGTGACAAATAAGTTGGTCTATTAGTCTTTCTAGGTTTTCCATGTGTCCAGTTTGAAGTCAAAACAATTAAGAATTTGATATTGTGCTTGACTACCTAATAAAATGTTAAATTCTGGGTTATGTATGTACCTGTGTTTACTGTCTGTAACTTAGGGAGAACTTTACCTTTTATTGTTTGTTTAATATTTTCCTACTTCTTTTTGGGACTGCCATATCAGCTTTTAAAATCTTGATAGATCTTTAGCTTTTATAACTTAGTGTCTACACAAATAAAAAATTCTAAAAATTAAGGACTGCAACCTCAAATAGCTTCATTGTGGGGAATACACTGCTGTGTTAGCCAACTCAGGGATGTATTGAGAGTTCAAGTAAGTCTTTGGCAAATAAGACTAGCTCAAATAATTTTGCACTAATAAAACTTTAAGTTATTGACATTAAATATAATGGAAATTTACATTTTAATTCTACTTGCATCTGGTCTTTAAGCTTCTATAAGATTACCATCCAGATAAACTGGCATTATTTATACTTAACATTTAAGATGATGAAAAATATGTTTGCATTTAACAAAATTGAATAGTCTGAAAAAAAACTATTTCCTCACTGGGTTTTATAATATAAGAGCTTGAGTGCAATTTTTAAGGCCTTTAAAAGCCCTACACTGCTACTAAGTTGAATTAATTCAGAGATGTTTGTTATATACTCACAGCATTCCTATGGAAGGTAGAGTGTGAAAACATTTATTATTAATCATAATTTTCATTTGCCTATTATTTAGCCATGCTGCAGAGTGGCTGTATATTTTGAATGTGATAGAGTGAGTTCTTTTCTTTTTTTTTTTCTGCCAGTTTGAAGCACTGTGTTATTAGAGTTGCGTGGTTGTAAAAAGCAGGAGCTTGGCTGATCTGCAAAACACTGATGTGTGATAGGCAATTCTCAGTTATCTGATTCCCAAAGTTCTCAAAGGAATAGAAATTGCTGTGGTTAAAAGTTACAATCAATATACGTGAATGAGCTTCCAGAAGGAGCGGCTTGGCAGAAGAACATTCTACGTGAAGCAGGCAGAGGGGGGTTTCTTTAATGAAAACAGAGCCCAGTTTTACCCTCAACTAAAATGACTGGTTGCTGTAGAATGTGGGGAGCAGAGTAAGACCAAGACTGAATGAATGTAAACATTTGTGGAGATTTGGGGACTATTATAAGTAAATATCGTATTATTTACTGTTGACAAAGCTAAGATTTGATCGGTTTCCTTTCAAGATTCCAGAAAGAGCTTTATTATCAAATATTAAACAGGTACAAATAAAACCTTGCTTCCACTTTCACTAAAGTGACAAAATTTCCTTAGATTCTTGGTTTCTTCTTAATACAAGGTTAAAAAATGCTTTTCCTTACCCTTATCTGTTTAATAGCAAATCTGCTATTGTGTAATCCGCTTAGATAGCAAAGACTGTGTCTGAAGAGAATAACCAGTGGGTTATGTCGATTTTATTATATTCCTGTTGACTTAAGCAAATATGTTTTCTCATTTAGGAAAGAAGCAAAAATCTATGCAATAATGTTTTCTATGCTTGTTTTTTAATATTATTGAAGCAAGAAGTAAGATACTGTCCCTCAGGCACCCCAAATCCAATTTTTTTTCCTCTTAGGTGTTCAAATCTCCTAACAATTTTTGATTTTTGCCTTTCTAAAATCAAATCATGAATGATATCTTTTGCACCTAAAACTGTATTTGAGATTCTTTGGGAGGCTCTGGGAAAGCACAACTTTTACTTTATGAAAGAGTTGTTGGGGGAAAGTAAGGTCATTAGATGTGTTAGGGTTGGTGCATGGCAGAGCTGTCAAACAGATGTACGCTTCTTAGACCAGGTCTGCATGGCTGACATTAGCAACACATAAGCAACAATGTGTGACAATCTTGTGCTGACAGTGATTCCCATGGATTTGTCAGTATTCTTGCTATCTATGCCACACTTGTCTTTATTAGAGCCTTGGGAGTCTTTGCTTGATTTTAAACATATTAGTCAACTTTCTGCTACTGTGTCGTGACACCCATGATTAATAACTTATAAGGAAGAAAGGTTAAACTTGACTCACAGTGTCTGAGTTTTCAGTTCAGGTTTACTTGGTCTACATGCTTCGGAGACTATGATGGCACAGGACAGCATGGCAAGAACACATGGCAAAGAGGCTCATCATGGCCATGGTGGTGAGAATCAAAATGAGAGAAGAGAAGGGGCTGGGGTCACCTTCCCTTTGAGGTCATGACCTTCAAAGACCTAACTTGTCTCCATTGGGTTCCTCCCCTAACGGTTCTGCAGATCCCTATGGGGGACAGCCTGGAGATGCAGTCTTGAAACACATTAGCTTCCGGGTCACAGTTTAGAATGTAAACTTTAGATTCAAAGTATGTTAAAACAGTAATAGTGTACATAGCAACTCCAGATTTAAAAAATACTATTTGCTGCAATTTCTTACTTTTTAAATTTTATTTTTATTTATCCCTTCATGCTTCCCACCCCGCTCGCCCCATGTGTATGCATGCATGTGAGCTTCTGCTCAGGCCAGAAGAGAATGTTGGGTCTTTTGGAGCTGAAGTTCCAGGCAGCTGTTAACTATCTGATGTGGGTGCTGGGAACCGAATTCAGGTTTGCTGCAAGAGCAACATGTGTGCTTAACCCCTGAGCCTTCCCTCTAGCCCTGAGATTTGCCTTGTTAGCTTAAATCTAGCATCTTCTGGGCTCACGATTTTTCAAGTAGATTTGTTTTTCAGCCTATAGAATTTTATTGATATTACTTTGGAATTTTTTTTTAGCATATGAACATTTAGGATGTGTTCCTGGATTATTGAACCTTTTTACTTAGTATTTCTGATATACTTTTGGTATTCCATAACATATGTTTGGTATCTTTGTGGTATGTTACTGCATCAGGTTTATTATACTACACTAAACTTTAAGACTTCTTAAGGTAAAAATTGGTTACCCTATTTTTTAAAAATTAAGCATAATGTCTATTATTTTTTGAAAATAAAGTTAATCACCACATTTATAGGCATTTTGTTTAAATTTTTGGAGGGTTTACATTCATTTGCACTAAACGAAGTCTAGTCTTCGTGTGTGTGTGTGTGTGTGTGTGTGTGTGTGTGTGTGTGTGTGTGTACTGTGTGTGTGTGTACTGTGTGTGTGTGTACTGTGTGTGTGTGTACTGTGTGTGTATGTGTGTACTGTATGTGTGTGTACTGTATGCATGTGGGCATCAGTGTGTACACATGTGGAGGTCAGAGGTGAATGCTGGTTATCCTTCTCTATTAATCTTCAGTTCTTCTTTGAGACATGGTCTCCCACTGCATCCAATACTCACCAATTTCTGTACTGACTGGCCAGCAAGCCTCCAGCATCCTGTATCTCCACCTCCCAGTGCTAATATTATAGGCACACACTGCCGTGTCTGGCATTTCACACAAGTACTGGGGTTCTAAACTTGGTCCTCATGCTTGCACAGCAAGCATTTTACCCATAGAACCATAATCCTAGTCCCTTCAGACACAATTTTGTGTGTGTCTACATTTTCATCAGATTATCCATTTTTAAAGTTATAGGTGAATGGAACAGTGAAGGAGAATAGTCTTGTCTGGAAGCAGATTCAACTTCTCATAATCCCCTACTAAAACTCAACTTTGACCAAACTCATTATGTACCAAAATCTCAATTATTTAGTATCTGGCTACTATCTGCAACATTATTTTTTTTCCTAAATTTGTTATATCTGATTCTCATTTGAACTAAGAGCTGGCTGTCTGGATTCCTATCCAAACTTCAGGCTGTATAACAGCTGGTCCTTTCCCCTGAAATCTGAAGAAGCTTTGCAAGCTGAAGCCATGCAGCTTGATCTAAACCATGAAGGGCTATGTCCAAACCCTGAAGAAGTTCAGTAAGATGCTGAGATCATACTTCAGGTAACCAAGACAGTTGATGACACTTCCCCAAAGGTCAACACCCAAGCTAAAGAGCTTTAAAAGAAACTCAAAGGGCATTGCCAATTCCTCAAACATTGCTCCAATATAATCTTTCATATCAGGACTTATCTTATTTACCTTTTTGAAGACGTCTGAACTCCAGGCCAACTGACTTTTGCTAACAACTCTCAACAGATGTTTTGGCCAGTTTTCCCGAAACAACACTCACATGAGCACATAGCAGTGCGTGTTACAGGCTTCCTTATCTCTGCAGGAGGATTGGGAGCTTTTCTGAGCTACCCAGTGAAATATGAGATTGATTGAACAAAACTGACAACTTTGAACTTTTACTCAGTCATGTGTTCCTTGGAAGTGGCAACTGTTATGAAGTCCTCTGTATGGCTTTGTGACCCAGGATCTTCTAAACACAAAGGGTGTGTCCCAAGATACACTCATCCTCATTATTCCTATGACTCCAACAGGACTCATAGATATATATAGCTCCCTGACTTACTCATGTATGTAAAACTCTAGCTGTCTTTTCCTTTCTTTCTTTCTTTCTTTCTTTCTTTCTTTCTTTCTTTCTTTCTTTCTTCCTGAGGAATTCCTCATTAAGTAATAGTCTCCTTTTTTTCTTTTCCTTTTTTTTTTTTTTTTGCAATAGCCCATAGAAAACTATGTTTTTAGTTTTCAGGATATGATTTTGTGTCCTAACCTCACCCCCATTTCTATGGTAGAATCCTTTTCATTTCCCTCTTATCTGAGCCTTCCTTTCCTTATCATCTGAGCAGCGTGCGGATTAAATAAGGTAATGATGAGAAAGAGCCAGAAGACCACTCAGTGCTCGTTGGCATCAGCTCTTCCCCTTAGATGAAATCATCCTAATGGAGTCAATGATGAGAGTGGGAACTGGTTAAAAGACAGACTATCAATGAACATATGTCTTTCACAAAAGGGAAAGCAATCTAGTACAGTGTGCTGCCACTGAAATAAAACACACCGGGCAGGAGTGTCAGCTCCTACATGGAACAGTCACTAATACATGATAGAAACAGCCTTCCTGCTTTCCCTCCTTTTCTTCCTTGACACAAAGGCAAAGCACATCTCAAATTGGTACCCTCTTACCTTAGCATGTCTGGGAGGGTGAGGACTCACATTTTAGATGCACTGTGCAGCTCTAAGGCAGCCCTAGTAACTGTCTGGCAGGTGAAAGTGCCAGGCTGGCTGTTGGGAGAGCCCAAGCCAGAAACAGGTGTAGCCACAGGTTGAATGAATGTTCTAATGAATCTATATGAAGTTGTCTGTATTTCTCCTGGCTCTTTGTGGAGCTTGACCAAGCCAGCTGGCAAGGACTGTCCTCCGGTAACTATATAAAGATTACCAGAGAGAAGAGCTAAGGCAACAATGTACATTACATGGACATTTACGAGTAAACGAATAAACTCACTGCTCAATAATTCAATCGGAAGCTCAAATTGCTGCAGTGAGCATGTAGGGAGTTCCAGTTGTAGATACACAATTGCAAAGTAATCACAAAACATTTGCTCCTGGAACGTGATCACCTATGGTGCTTTACGTTAAGCTGTAATCAGCCTAAATATAAAATGAGCAAATTCTCCAAACTTCAGGAATGCAACTTTACAGAAAATAGGACTGTGTTTGGGGACCTTGGTAAAAGTCCATTTGCGAATTTCCCAAACCCATCATTCTGACTCCTCAGTGACACATAGGTTTTTCATAGTTTTAATTTTTTTTTGCATTATCATCACCTTATAATCTAATTTGGACCCTTATCTGGGCTAAGTTGTACAGTGAGGAGAGGAGGAACAGTGTCTAGGTCCCATGATACTTTTAGGGACTACCAAACTGCTTTAATGTTCTCTAATCATAATAAAAAATTAAGTTTTAAATAGTGTTTAAAATACATGATATTAACAACGTCTTTTTATGCATATGCATTAAATACAAATTTACATATGCTTATGGGGATGGGAGTTAATGAAAGCAAATTTCCTGGATCCAATCAGCTGTGTTTGTAGGTTTAGTTCTCTTTTCAGGGGCTGTGTGTTTGAAAGCTTCAAGAGTACCAAATCCTGTACAGTATATTATATATTTTTCTACATATGTAGTTTATAATGTAGGTATAGTACGATTTTATTTTAAGGGCTTATAACTCTTTAATAATTGAATCCAATGATATTGAAATGGTTGAGATAGTAAACCAAGAACACAAAAACCTGATTTAAAAATGATCCATGACTTCAAAGAGGACCAGAAAACAGATGAATGGGTTAAATAAATCAATTCAAGACTTTGGAGAAATCTGACTACTAGAGACCTGGCAAAAACACGGAGATGCTGGGGGGCTATGGGAAATACTGGGAATGAAAAGCTTAATAAACTACATAAAAATTCAGTGTAAGATGTCTCCAGGAGACTAGACAAGGCAGAAGAGAGAATATCAGGAAGTGAGGATGAGATTGAGAAATTTATATTCAAGTAACAGTAAAAAATACAGTCGAGACCCTTGGAGCATAACTAAGGGATTAAAGCTTCTTTCTCCGATGTGTGGAACAGAGGGCTGACATGGAATTTAAAAAAAGCCTAGGAAATTCAATCAATGAGATTATAGCAGAGAATTTGCTATATCTAGGGAAATAAATGCATGTCCAAGTATAGGAAGTATTCAGATTGCACAGCCAGAAAAGAATCTCTCCACACCATGCCATAATTGAAGTTCCAAAGCTACAGAACAAAGAATACTGCAAGCATCCCCTCAGATTTACTGCTGAATTCTACCAAAATTAAATGAAAAATGCCCATGTTTCCCAAACTACCCAAGAGGATAGAAACGGAAAGAACATTTAAAATAATAGTTAATAGTAATAGGATAATTATAACAAAATATTATGAAGACTGTTATGTGAATGTGAACTCTTACAGAGTATCGGATTACATTTTTACCTTTCTGCTTCAAGGCAGCACTGTCTCTGATGTTCCGGAGTCACCAGCATCATTCCTCATTTGTTTGGGACCATTATTGAGTAAAATAAGGGCTGCTTGAAAGCACATAGCATGGTACTCCACCAGTGGACATGATAACTGAAATTGTTGCTGAGTGGGAGGGTAGCATAGACACTACAGATTCCTTGGCCATGAGGAGAAGTAGTTTCCCAGGAAAGTTAGAGTGTGTATCTAGAAAATTTCTATATTACTCAGAATAGTGAGTAACACAAGTGGTTGTGGTGTGTCTGCAAAGTGTTTCCCACATACTCAGGTGTCTGAACAGTTGGTTCCCAGATTGTGACCCTGTTTGGGAAGGCTATGAAGCCCTTAGGAAATGGAGCCTCACTGGACAAAATGGATCATTTCGTCCATTGGAGGTGGACATTGAGCTTTTATAGCCTGACCCCATAAATGGTTCACTTTTTGCTTGCTGAGTGTGGATGTAAGGCAGGCCGCTGTCTCCCACCTTCATGTGTCTTCCCTGTCATGGTGTACTATAACCTCTTCAACTGAAAACCAAAAATTAACTTTCTATCATTTACTTTTGTCAGGTATTGGATCATAGTAGTAATTAAAGTAATGTATACACTTACAATCCATTTCTGGAATATTTTCCAACCTTATTTAACTGGGATCAATTTAAAACTTCAGGATGTGAAAACTTAGATAAGGTAGGTTAGTGTTCTCTTAATTGCTTAGAGACAAAGGAAACCCAGAAATCCCCAAGACCATCTTCTCAGGCCACCAGCACCTGGGGTGTGGACTCTGCATTGCTGACGGGCACTCCAGACCTATGGGAAGCATAGGTCCTGGCTCCATGGCTCAATGTGAGGGCGCTTGGTTTTCAGAAACGGCAACTTTCTATTAATAGGCAGTAGGGCTCGCTTTGAACATTATGGAGAGGATACTGTCCTGATTAATGTATTTTTAAAAGCAAAAACCAAGGCACCTAATCTGAAATAGGATGTCCTCCTACATCTCTATGGATTTCAATGGAAATTACTTATTGCCTTCGTGACAATAATAAAATGTGAAAATCCCACAACCTGCCTGTAAGGGCAGTAAGCAGGGTCTTTCCACAATCTAATATTTGAATTATTGTTACTTAGTAGCCCCAAAACTCCAAGCTCTAAGTACCAGTCGATACCAGTTTTCCTCCATCACAAATGCAGTGTCAGATACTATATGATGGCCTTCTGTCGGTTTGTCTTTTGGGGGAGCACATTTAACACATCCTTACTAGTACTCTCTATTTAGGGTTCTTGTCAACCACTTAGACTGAGAAGTGTTGCTGCTGTGTCTCTTTTCATACCGACTAGGAAAGTCTTGGTCTTAAATATTGAATAATCACTTCAAATTACTGGAACATTCTGAATTCAGAATGCCAGGGGACCTGACAGGTAGAGGAGGTCTGGTTCTAGATAGGCGGTTCTCATACTGGCATGGAGATCCCACAAACACCAAGGCCTATAGGGAAACCTGTAGCCAGCCCCCAAGAAGGTGTGGCTAAAGCAGGTGAGGTAAGTAAAGTAGTTCAAAGTCCATATACGTCTGTACAGAAGGCAGAATTATATTCAATTCTCATGGTACTTAAGGATTTTACAGAACCTCTTAATATAGTTACTGATTCTCAGTATGCAGAGAGAGTCGTGTTACATATTGAGACTGCAAAATTTGTTCCTGATAATACAGAATTAACTTCTCTGTTTTTACAATTACAGGAAACTATCAGAAACAGAAGTAATCCTATGTATATTACACATATCAGATCCCATACGGGTCTGCCTGGCCCACTAGCACAAGGCAATGATGAGATTGATCGTTTATTAATTGGAAGTGTGCTAGAAGCCTCAGAATTTCATAAGAAACATCATGTAAATAGCAAAGGTTTGAAAAAGGACTTCTC